CAAAACTATAGGGCATAAAGTTTTGACTAAAAATGATCTGAACATCTGCTTCTGCACAGCCGCCTGCTCCTGTGGTCCTGTGTGTCGCTCCTGATAAAAGCAAACATCTATCAGCATATGCTGTTTGTGTCAAGGGAACAGTAAGAGCTCTACGAGTAAAGGAATGAAAATTCATCAAAAGGAAAAAAAAACCCGGGAACCATGTTAGTGAGGTCGGTTTGAATCGAATATTTTTTAGGCTGTTTGATATCTTATTTGATATTTTTCACAACTCTGTCTGCACATGTGGCCTTAAAGTGTTTATGCGAATCATCTTCTAATTGAACATAACTGCTAGTTTCGTGGAAAACATGTTGCAGTGCTGAAAAGATGCTGCAACCACTCACTGATGTGCCAGTTTTATGTCAACATTTCCCATCTTTACATTTACATAAAAATACATTTATCAAGTTTATTAACTGTCCCAAAATAACTCCTTCACTTTCAATATGAGCATTGCAAAGTAAAGCCTCACGAGAAAGTCGACTGTCTCAACGTTAACCCTCTGCTCTGTTTTGATATATTTATAATAAATGCATCACCGTGGAGTAAATGAAATCCAAATGTCTCACATAGAAGTGCTCATAGAAAGTGTGAGTATGCACATTAGTGTGAGCAGAGTATCATAAAAGTGTGCGAAAGATTACCACATATGTGTCGAAGTGGCGTTTCCTCCTGGGTTAAACTTCAGTGGATGTTACTCATTATCATAAAAATTTAGTAACAACATTTCAGCCTCACCTGGCTTCTGTCTTAAACCTTGTATTAAAGATACAGGTGTGATCAAATGTCTAAATTCAAATTTTTTAATGTTTTTCCACGGTGGATGAATTGTACAGCATGCATCTTTAATGACTTTAAAAACAATAATTGGGTGCACAAGTTTATTTTTCATTTTCTGTAATCAATGCAGGTTCAAATATGTACATACATCCCCAATAATATCTGGTTAAATGTCCATTAACATGTTGAATCTTAACCAGATGCTTTTTGTAGCAATCAACAAGCTTCTGGTATCATTCTGATCGGATATTTGACAAGTCTTCTTGGCAGAATTAGTAGAATTCATTTAAGCTGGTTGGTTTCCTGGGGTGTTTGCAGACAAGTCAGCGTCTTACGACTGTTTTAATCTCCAGGTGACCAAAGCAAACACACGTAGGTTAATGGTGCAGCACACTCTTTGCAGTCAATCCAGTTCAGAACAGTTGACCTGTTCAGGAGAATGCAAGGTATTCATCTCAAAAGGGTTTGCACTCCTTCTTCAAACGATCCAACCTTTTCCTTTTAATTTTATCCCGCTTGGTTTTGTTTATTCATCTGCACCCCTACTCTTTCACCTTCACTATGCCTCTTTGTTTTCTTATTGTCTCCTTTCTATTCCCCCAAGCCGCTAAGCTCCTTTGAGAATAATCTCATTTGCTGGATCTATCTCAATTCGAATGCATACTGTCTCGTTTAACAAATCGCCCAGTTTCACTCCAAATGCACACCTTGCCCATAACAGATGCCTTCAGCGCAGAGGAGTGTGCAGCATAATGCGGTCTCTGTAGAAAAAGGCCTCCAGGGGGGCCAGTAGTTAAATTGGAGGAGAGATGGGATTCCCATTCCAGCTGTGACGAAGATGCAAGGTGCTTAAATTGTTATCGCCTCAAGCGATAGGCAAGTCAAGGATCAGAGCTGAGCTGATGGCCCAGTCAGGAGACGGGGAGCAATGCTGCCCAGTATGGTTGCAAGACTGAGTATTAGCCACCTGCTCTTTCACTGCTCTGTTGCTCAGGCTTGCCAGGGCCATAATGACTGCCTCGCTGCTGAGGCGCTTGTGTCAGCAGTTTGAAATGACTCTCATTCTGTGTGCCTGTAAGCTTTTCTGCACTGAACACCAGGAAATGAAAAATATATCGGAAGAGTTCGATCACACCACAATTACATTACCACAGGCGTTTGATGGTACAACATTTCACCAGCAGCGTTACATGAAATCTCTTACAGAGAACTAGTGTTGTGTGTTGTTGTTGGGAGCATCAGGTTTTAGCTCTTTAGTGGCCCTTAACCCATTTAGGAAACACTTAACTAAAACAAGGGTGATTAAGTTGACTGGATAATTTGGTCATAACAT